TTGTTTGCTGGATTGTCTGGGGCTGTCCAGTAGCCATGGGTTGACGTGCATTACTTGATCCTCCTACCTCACCCACCGCTGGCGTCGCTAGATTTGGCCGTGCTCGCGCCGCGATGACTGCCGCCGCCGAAATGGGCGGCGGGAGATTCGGTATCAAGCGGTTTCGTTGTTGAATCTTGGGGGGGCGGGGCAAAGCCGGAGTCTGTGTGTCGTAATACGTGTGTTGCGCTCTCCACGCTCCCCTATGAATCCGCCGGCCATCCTCCTCAATGGAGAAAATATTCATCCTGGCGGGTAATGCGGGCTGATCCCATCGCACCCACACCACGGCTGTAGTGAGACTAGCTTCGACTATCCCCCATTTCTTTCCATATTCATCTACGTCAAAGCCGTAGGCTTCCGCAATAAGCCAGAATAGGCATTTCTGAGGAAATGCTGGAGGTAATCCTGTCAGTCTGAAGTATTGGGCAGATGCCCCCACTATGTCTACTACAAGATCTTGAATGTGGTAATCTCCTAGATGGAGATCTGCTAGATTGATTCGTCCGCAATGGTCCGCTAAGTTTTTTACGGGCGTAATCCACTCCTCCGCAGTGTACGGGCCGAAACCTTACTGCCAATGCCAAAATAGTTTCCGTTTTTTGGACCCTTCTGCGAAACCTGCCGGAACCTGCCGGAACCTGCCGAAACCCTGTAAATGCTGTATTTTATGACGTCCATGGTATGCAAACGTTGTTCGTGGGCCCTATGTGCCTTTGCGCCTCATGGGACCTGCTCATGTGTGTCCGAAGGCACTCCGGGGGCACTTTTGCGCGATATGGACGCGCATCTCCTGAAGGCGCCCTTGCTTGGACTCGGTCCGGCAGTACTTGCAGATGATAGTCCAGTTCTTACATTTTGCATTATATTTTTTCTTCTCAAAGTGAGCCCAAACGGTCTGATCAGCGGTCCTTCCGCCCTTGTTTTTGACCGAATCTGTGTCTGCACTGACAACGGAAGTTGTCTGAGACATTGATAAGATAAACTCAACATTCGCAGAGTTTCGCAGCCTTGCACAACGCGCCTACACTTTGAAACTATTCAAAGTAGGTTCCGCCGTACGGCGCTAGCCGAAAGGGGCCGAAACTAGTTTCGGCATTTCCGCAGAACCAGGACCTCTTCGCCGGAATCACGGAAACTAGTTTCGGCAGGTTTCCGTTTCGGCAGGTTTCCGTTTCGGCCCGAACACTGCTCCTCCGGTACGTAGACGTTGATCTGTCCAACGACTCCTTCGTCGTTGCGAGCTTCCCAAGCGACCGGTTCTCCGACGAAAACATAAGGAGCTTTTAGCTCCGGTTGTACTGTCTGCACTATTCGGTGTCCAATCGGTCCTGCCATAATGTCTATTACCTGCTTTCTGTTCTCTAGGTAGTTTCCTTGAAAGATTGCTCTCATTGCCAGCGATCGAAGTTTGCCAAAAGGTTGCTCCATCTTCGTAATTTCCCTAAGAAGGGAAATTGATATGGTTGCTTCAGATCGTTCCGCCGTCACACCGGCGGCCTGATCCGTTGAACTGTTGCGAGCCATTTTGATGTCTCTGTTCTCAGAAAAGTTATTGAAGGTAAATAGACCGACCGGGTTAACCCGGTTCGGTCATTGTTATGATGTTGAGTCTGCAAGTTGTGATTGTGGCTATATGGTTGCTATATTGCTATATTGCTATATTGTATTATCCGTGCAAGGAGTTTGCAAGGAGCAACACGTAATCCAAGGCTTTGCCTGGTTAACTTCCGCGTGCACAATACCCTTCCCACCACAGACGTGCACCTATGGCCAGCTATCGTTTCGGCCGGAGAATAACCGAGTCATTGATGTGGACATCCCTTGTACCGGGAATACGTCCTACGGCCCATACAACCTGATGAACGGTCGCGGCATTGGGGAGAATGTCGATAATGAAAAGTACGCTCTTGTTGAGCTTGCAAAGTTGCACGTGCAGGTACGCAAAGGTATTGACGTTGATGGGGTGTTACACTGTGGGCGGCTCGTCCCGAGAAAGGACTGAGAGCACCGGGGGCCCTGACCGGGGGCCGAAACACAGCGCAGGGGCGGGCTCGCGGCTCTACGTCCGTCTGTTCCTCCGCGCGCGCCTCAGTCCCTCACTCACGCTAACCGGGGCGCTCTCCCAGCCCCTGGCTAGGCAACACAGCGGCTCAGAAGACTGCGAACCGAACTAAGCGAGAGCCGCACGAGAGGCGCCACACCAACTCTGGGAACCCTAAACAGGCTAACTGCCCCCACTACGTTGACGTTGCATTGCTATGTGAAAGCAAGCTTTTATGTATGTGGCGCACGGCACCGCATTTTGCAGCGGCAACAACGGCAGTCATGATTTGTAGTATCCTCGGTAAATCATGCAATCCACCGTTCGGTTCTTTTCTGAAAAAGTCTTGATACAACAGAACTGCTCTTTCTTGGCCGGTGGTCGATACCTGGTAGGAAAACTGCTTTGGGAGTTCGTGCATGTTCGGATTACGTATTTACACGGCGACGGTTCCCCTACAACCTATGTATTGCCTTTTTCGCAACCTTTGCAGCAAACTGACCGCGACGTTTTCAACAAATGGTCAAGCTTCCGCCGAAAGGTCATGATTTTCCCTTTCAACTGGTACAAGCGCTATGTCTCTTGGACAGGATCGGTAAGTAAGGGCAGGCGTGTGCGCACCAGAGCACTGAGTAGCTAGGGACGAACCTGTTCCAGGAAGAATGGCTTCTGTTTTATTTAACATTCGTTAATAAGCCAGATAAATACACAGGCAGGACGCAGCGGCGGTGGTGGACGCCTGCTGTTGGCGTGGTGAAATCGCGTATATATACGACCTTTTAGAGTAATAGTTCTTTACTGGTAGCATCCCATATCGTACAGTCGCTGGCGCGAGAGCACTACTGGTGGCATTCGCATTATTTGCCTTCTCTATTTCCCAGGGGTGGTCACCGATTAGAGCGAGTGCAGGTTTAGGTGTAGTACCCTGTAGGGCTTATCACAGGATCTGCATTCGCCGATCGGTTTTTTTGTTGGAAAGTCGTGATGTAACATTAGGAGAGCTGTCGTCCGTCACGCATCGCAGCGACGACTGTACATACATATGCCCAGCGCTAGTCATTAACCAGTGGGCTAACGATCCCGGCATGTTACGTCAGTACAAATCAGCAGTACAAATTGTCCCATTCCATGCTATTTTATTGACCGACCGCAAACGGTTCTTGAGTTTCTTCGTTTACCGCGCTCGCCCATCTTCCACCTTGGGATGCTTCGATGCTTCAGGCTGCGGTCGGCTGCGTCGCAAACGCTGACTGTTATACATGGATTAACTCCGATACGGCGAGCCGTGACTACGTGGACAGTGCTTCCGCATTCCATGAGCTAGGTGCGTGGCAAGGTCCCCAAATAAATAAGCCGCCGCCGGTGACACCCGTCTATAAAAGTTGTATGATCTTTGGATTGTGCCATGGTACACTGTTAGGTGGGGATCGTCCCTTTCTTATGTAACAGGTTGCAATCTATAGACTATTAAAATTTGTATAGATGGACGACGTACTTACGAGGAAACCGTAGTTGGTGAGCTCGACCGAACTCCAGTGAAGGGGCTCGCAGGGGAGCCATACAAGTGGTTACACCTATCCCTTTATGCTTTTTTCACTTTAGGCTTCTGGTCGTCGCGCTTAGGCCCTTTACCGGCTGCTTTCTAGCTAGCATTAGTGGTCCACTAAGCGGCAACAGTAAGTAATAACCAACATGATGCTACCCTGCTTCAAACTCTCGCCCATAGTCAGCATAAGCTTCCTTCCGTATTATTACTTCAGTGTCGTTCTGTTTCCTTGCGTTCCATGCATGTATGGCTGTTGCAGGGCACAACATTGGACTGTCACACTCTGATGCCCGGGAGTGCACGAGCAACCGTAGCGGGGGCGCGCCCAGTTGTGCGCTTTCGCGAAGCTCTGACCCCAGCGACATTCTGGGTGCTGGGACTGTCCCTGAGAAGCGATCGCAGATCTTGTGCATGAACGCGCCGCAGGTGACTGACTTTGGCTGGCCCTTAAGCTTGGGTCTGGGGTTTTTGGGTTTTTATGGTTTTATGGTTTTGGGCTTGTAGAGGCCAGTTACAGCTCTAGAGGTACACACATACACACATACACACATACACACATACACACATACACACATACACACATACATACATACACACATGCACACATACACACATACACACATACACACATACACACATACACACATACACACATACAAAAACATATACGCACATACATATATATACACTAATGCGCACACATACACACACGTGTGGGAGGGCCTTCGTAGCCCACCGTGGGCTCTTTCATCATTGATTACGTGAGGTAGAGACAAAGGGTCGCGCGCAGTCGGATGAGCAGGAGGGGATTGTGGCCCCTCACACGCCCCTCACGCCCCTCTCCTCCTCCTAAGAGGCGAGTGTTTCGGTGGTCGTTCCTGTTGGGGTACGGTTAGGTGCCCCTGGCCAGCGTCAGGCCCGGATCGATACGTAACAGGTACACATACACACACATACACACACATACACACACATACACACACATACACACACATACACACACATACACACACATACACACACATACACACACATACACACACATACACACACATACACACACATACACACACATACACACACATACACACACATACACACACATACACACACATACACACACATACACACACATACACACACATACACACACATACACACACATACACACACATACACACACATACACACATATACACGCGCTTGCAGGAAGCAAACCGATTTCCCAAGCACTTGGGGCTCTAGAAATGGGAACTGGCCTGTTCGCCTTTCGCACCGATGTCGACATTCACATAAGCTTGCTCTCTTGCTTGCTTGCAGTCGTACAAGGCCGGGTGGTCAGGGTTCGTGACAGGAGGCCTCATCAGGTCCTTTGAGTTGCAGCCCGGCGTCTCACGGGTGATTACCCTGCCCTCCATGTCGCTCAACAAGAACAATCTGCTGCGAATTGTTATCGATTCCTCGAACCTCTTAAACGGCCTTGACAATAAGCCCCAGCAGGCACTATTCGTGTCATACCGGTGCGTACATATGTATATATGTAGGGTATGCAGTTAGATTATAGCATCAGGCTCTGCAGACAAATGACCACCTGCCTGCTGCACTTCCGTGATGCTCGCTTGGTTGCGCTTGGTGTGTTGTTAATCCATGACCTACAACACGACGCGTGTCCCTTAGCCGACAGGAAGTTGCCTTGTCAATGGCCTACATATTTAAGATATTCATCACTGACCTGTTGTATGCGACCTTCCGCTTGCAGAGTGCGCGGCAACGGCTCTGTAGCATATGACTCAGGCCTGAATACAAGTGGTCGCATCTGGTGCGTTTCAAACAAGCCTCACAAATGTGGGCGTGGTCCTTGCTGGTGTGGGTAGTCGGTGTTGTACGTGGTGTGTTTGAATATCTGGTTGATACGCAGTATCGCATCGCAAGCATCACAGGCAGGCAAATACCTGGAACGAATAGGGCAGGGGTATTATCCACTTACTCGAAGCTGGAAAAGGGATGCTACCCCACCGACCTGCAGTTGCTGCAGGCCTACTAGTTGTTGCCCATTGCCTGGCGTCCGAGTTGATTCCTGAGCACTGTTGCGCCTTACCAATGGACGCATGCAAGCAACGAACAACACCCATTGATATCAAAGAAGATTTTGCTGATGGAAACATAGCATCCAAGCCATACATGCGAGCAATTCACAACCTCCTAGGGCATGAGCCTGAGCCCTGACCACTGCGTGCGTAATGGGTGTTGGGTGCCCTTGGGTGACGACGTTGTATGGGGAATGGATGGGGTTGGACCCCAAATCGCATGCACCCGGGAAAGCGAGCGAACGAGCATGACCTCAACCCGCAAGACGATACCTTAAGTTAATAATAGAGGTGCATCAAATGAATTAGGCCTCGATCCATATTATCAAATTGCATCAAGATTGATAAAGTTTAATAAAGATTGATAAAAATGATAAAGACTCAGGCAGGCAAGCGGCAGACGGTCATCAGTAAACTTTTTAACCCAGGGACGGCTCTTAATCAGCATCGATGGCGGGGACCCTGCACCAAAAACCATCTAATCAGATATTACATAAACTGCTTGACACATATCTGTTCGATTGCTTGTAGTTGACTTTAGGGTTTTGTACATATGTTCTGTATGTAGTCGGTGAGACCTCGTACATGTTACGAACACGATCACTTGGATCCCCAGTGGCTATAAAGTAGATATCGTTGTGGACGACCAGGTCAACCATAATGATGATCCTCTGCATGATTATCGTGACAAAAGTTTGTAGCTTGGATTGACTGAGAAGATCCAAAATCTGTACCCCAAATCCTCAAAACGGCATGTGTCCCGCGTGTGAGGTGGGGCACATGACGCAGCATAGAGTCGTGGTGACCCATCTGCCCGAGGGTAGGAGATGGCATGCACAGGCTGGTGTATGAGGCCGTGTAGAAACGGATCTCTTCAGAAAAGGAGAATTTTGTAGCTGTCGTACAGTACGGAAAACACATCGTCTATACAAACGCTGCCATCTTGGGAGTATTTTTTTTTCATACACGTGCCCATGCCCGTGCACGAACCCACGACATCCCGCTCTGCAGGATTCACGAGTACAATGACACAGCGAACGGGGTACCTGCGGACTCTTCCCCAGCCTTACTTACAACACTTGATACGGTTTCCAACGGCACCGTTGCAGCAGCTTCTTTTGTACAGCCATTGCCGCTCATCCTTGGTGTGGTGACTGGGGGTATCAACATCTCTTTGAGGAGCAAGACGCCGGAGAGCGCGACCGTGTCTCTGTGCCGCTTCACACGCCGGGTGGAGACAGCAGGTTTTTGTTCTGACGGCTTGGACAATGACTGGTGAGGTCATAAAGTGCGTTCGTGAGTTAGCCCGGCCATAGATGATGTTGTCAGCAAGCAAGCCGTAGGTTGAACGTTTTATCGTCTATGGACAGATTTGTCATCGTATTATCGATAGGAACTTATATAAATTCATGGCATAGATCGCAGATTGGTATATGTATAGATCGTGCCATGGTACCATAGATAGGCCTGAAAATAGATTAATGGTCTTTAGACGCTCTATAGACGCTTGCTACGGTTGCTTGCTGCTTACCGGCATAGATAGACTCGCTGGCTCCCATACTGTAGCCGACGTACGTACGTACATACGTACATACCCATTCGACATGTCACACATCGCATTGTCTGTACGTCTGCGACATGCATAAACGGCTTACAGACGTTTTAGCCCTGTTTGGCTCTTTATATCAAACGTTGTTATGATCTGTTCGGGCGCCGTTAAGGTGCGGTTGTACCCCCTATGAGTTGGTGTTAGAGTGAGGTCTGTCGATACCAGCCCGGGGAACAAGCCCATCCCTGACTCCCCCGTTCTTTTCCCCATTCCCGTGTGTATTTGCATGTGTATTCTGTCCTAAACCCCTGTGCTGCAGCGACGGGCTCATGGATATGGATGACCCCGACTGTGCTCCATCACCGCCACCATCGCCCGCTCCAATACCCCAATCACCACGACCATCACCACCAATGCTCACGACTGTACTTGCTTCAGGACAGTCGCCACAGAATTCAACAACCCCATCTCCATCTTCATCTCCATCTTCATCTCCATCTTCATCTCCATCTCCACCGCTACCCTCATCGAGAACGCCACCACTCCCAACATCACCACCACCACCGCCATCACCACCACTACCATCACCACCATCGCCACCATCACCATCACCATCACCACCGCGACCACTCCCCCAAACCGCGTCACCTTCTCCATCACCACCACCGCAGCCGCAACCGCAACCACCACCACCACCACCACCGCTGCCGTGGTCGCCACCGCCTTGGTCATCATCACTGAGCCAGCTGCCACCCCAACCAAAGCCAGCATCAGGGACACCACCGCCTTCGAGGCAGCCGCCAAGTCCACAAAGCAAGTCACCACCGCTATCGTCATCTCGCCCAGCCATACCCTCGCCTTCTCCGTTGCCCCGGTCCGCGCCGCCACCGTCGCCATCACCGCAACCGTCGCCACGACCACCACCACCATCACCACCACCACCGTCACCACCTCCTCCACCGTCACCACCTCCACCACAATCACCGCCACCACCGCCACCACCTCCTCCACCGTCACCACCACCACCGCCACCGCCACCGCCACCACCACCACCATCATCACCACCTCCTCCACCACCACCGCCCCCGAACTCACCACCGCC